TGAGAAAGAAACTGAAGCCTTACGTTTGAGCTAGTAGAAGAAGCAAGGCCAGAAAAGAGCAGGAAAGAAATTTAATCCAAGAAGTCCTTCAAGGACCGCATTTCATCTCCCCCCTCTCCTGACAAATTTGTCAAATAAACTTGTTTTATGTCGAAAAACGACAGTTACAGCTGTTTTGTCAAACCTCCTGAATGACATCTTGTTCAATATTTTGAGAGATGCGTTAGTGATCTGAGATCATCTGAAAATTTACCTCCATATCTCTCTTTATTGTGGGATTGATGAGTCTTTGCTCGTTTGCTAACATGAACACGTCCACCCGCTTCGGTTGTTATCGTCCATTAAATGGACGTTATTAGCCGTTATCAGTCCCATAGAATGGCTTCAGATTGTTAGCTGGTTAGTATGAGGCTTAAAACCACTAAGGTTAATTTTAGAGAAAATGACTTGGGCTACAATAAAGTAGACCGAACTCAGGCAGTAGCAGTTTGTTGCGTTCCAACGTATATGGCACTGGTAACCCACTAGGGGGCACTGTCGGGACAGTCTGAAGCCATTCTATGGGACTGATAACCGCTAATAACGTCCATTTAATGGACTGATAACATCCGAACTGGCTGACACGTCAGTCCGATCTTGTTTTCTCTTTGCTGGCTGCCTGTATCTTTTAGAAGAGTTTTAAAGGTTTTGTTTTTGTTTTTTAAATTTCCAAATTATGCCACCTCCTTAATGGGCTTTTAAACACATTCCAAGTAAATCTCTAAGATAATACAGTTCAAAAGCTTATAGTTGATCCCAGGTCTCGGCTCGCAGGGTTAGACAGAGCCTGTTCAGTTGCAGGTCCTCAGCTCTGGAACAATCTTCCTGTGTCTGTAAGGTCTGTTGGGTCTCTAATTTTTTTTTAAGTCTCTTAAAAACTCATCTTTTTTTAAACAGGTGTTTAAAAAGGAGTTTGGAGAGCACGGTCACTGGACCAGCCTTTGTTTTGTTTGATTTTATTGTTCATTCTGTTGACCCTGTACTTTGTTTACTGTTTGTATTTTATGTTCCTGTACAGCACTTTGCTTTTTTATTGAGCTTTATAAATAACTGATGATGATGATCAGTGAAACTAACAAAATTTTTTGGCCAGTGATGGCTGTGTCCAAATTAAAGGGCTGCATCCTTCAAAGGCTGATTTTGACGGCTGATTACGTCACAGTGACGCGCTGTCCAAATTCATAAAACCCCTATGATTGAAGCTCACCAAGGCAACCCCCCCAATCCGGAGTGTCCTTCTCAGCCCACCTTATCCCAAGATGCATTGTGGACCGACCGGTAAAATATTTTTTGCTTACAATGGCGGACAATGCTAAAAAAGAAATATAGTTTAAAATTAAAATCTGGTGGTACAACAATTTAAAGGCTTTTTGTCATTAGTTGTTTTTAATTATTATTCTTGTCAGGGATCACCGTAAACATGCTGGTATGACGGGTCCCTTAGTTCTTCAAGTATTGCCTCTAAGCTAAATTTGTTTATTTATACTAATACATTAACATTTTGCTAATTTCAAACAATTTTTGATCTTCATTGACTCCGTTTAGACTGTTGGTAGGCGACAGGACATACGCCGGGGTACAGCTAGACCGTCCAAACTCAAAGCCATTTTCTTCCGGTCTCCGCGGTCGACGAAGGACCTGGTCCACGTAGGACGCCGCCCTTAAATTTGGATACAACAGATGCTTAGCTGTGTCGGCCATCTTTAAATCAGTTGTTGATTCAGTGGTTATTTTCTGGAAGTGTCATTAACATTTATTTCGTGTTCATGAGCCATTTACCAACCAACCAACCAACCAACCAACCAACCAACCAACCAACCAACCAAAAACCTGATTTGATTGTATTCCTTTGCTAGCCTTTATTGTTCCACAGAGGGGAAATTAATTCTCTGCATTTTACCCATCGCGCATGTGAACACATGCGGAGCAGTGGGCTGCCAATTACAGCGCCCAGGGAGCAGCTGAGGGGTTAAGGGCCTTGCTCAAGGGCCCAAAGTGGGGCTGGTTGCTTCAGGGAGTTGAACCGGTGACATTACGATCGCAGACTCATCTTCGCCACCACTCCCTTAACTGTTGCTTTTCAGCAACAGGTGAAAGTAAAAGACGGCAACCTGTGATCAGGAGGTTGCTGGTTCAAATCCCCCAGACCAGCACATACAATCTGAGTGGAAAGGTGAAGCACCAACATCTGCCTCCACCCTTATTTACCCCATTGTGTCAATGTCCATGTCAACTTTATTTATAAAGCACCTTTAAAAACAGCTAATAGCTGGACTAAAGTGCTGCACAGCAATCCACAAATATCACAAAATCACAAAAAGAACAGATAAATTACAATACCAAGCCTTATTTTAATTAAATGCCATTGAATAAAAGTGAGTCTTAAGAAGCCCTTTGAAGTTTTCCAAGCTATGAGCAGATCTAATATGAAAGTTGTTCCATAGATTGGGAGCAGACACAGCAAAAGCACGATCACCTCTGCTTCTAAATCTACCTCAATGTTCTAGATGAAGAACAAACATGCAAAAGATCATGAAGATAGGTTGGAGCAAGGCCATTCAAAACTTTAAAAACTAATAATAAAATCTTAAAATCAATTCTGTGAGATACAGGTGACCAGTGTAATGAAGCCAACACAGGTGTTATATGTTTACATGGACCAGTTAAAAGTCAGGCTGCAGCATTTTGAATCATTTGGAGACGATGCAGRGAGGACTGATCTATGCCCTTGTACAATGAATTGCAGTAATCCAAACATGTTATGATGAAAGCATGAATAATTTCCTCAAAATCTCTAAAAAAATAGTTCTTCACCTTGGCTAAAAGACGTAAATAGAAAAAGCCTGATTTGTCAACTGAATTCACTTGCTTATCCAGTGTCAAACATCTGTCAAAGACAACACCAAGATTTCTAACAGCTGTCTGATAAAATGGAGATAAAGATCCAAGAATTGCATCAGGGTCACTTCCAGTATTTTTCTGTCATTTTATTCTCATTCAAATGGAGAAAGTTTGAGTCCATCCATGATCTAAATTCACCTAAACTGTCTAATAAAGACTGTAAAGAATCATGTTTATTATCCCCATTAAATGCATGTAAATCTGTGAAAAAAACTGTGGCCCTCGAACTTTCTGCGCCTCAGATGGCAGCGCTCCGTTCTACGTGTGATGGGAACAATGCAGAGAATTAATCACCCCATTGGAGATCAATAAAGCAAATAATTAACAAAATAAAATATTCACACAAACAAGCAAAATCTATTATTTTACGTGTTTGCTGAGGCTCAAAACAAACAGGCCATCCAAACTACATAAATATCAGGAGTCAGCGTTTGACACCGCTGAGCTCGGAGCTCCGCTCTTTGCTTTTTAGCAGCAGCAGCTCAGAGCTCCTGTTTAACATTTGCCCTCCACTCCTTCSGGGCAGAGCTCACTGCAGCACAAATAATCCTAACGACACCGGCCCACTGCAGAGTCGGAAACAACCGAGCCGTAGTTCAGCGGCTTTATCTTGCAAAGAGCAGTAAAAATGATAATGAAGAAAAAGCTGATCTCTTGAAAGATAATCAGGAGGTGTTATTTTTACTCTATTGCTGCAGCTGATCTCTGCATCCACAGCTACACACTTTAACTCAAACATCAAGAAATAAATGGAAGCTGAGATCATTTAATCTGTCTGGTAACATTTGCAGAAAAGCTGGTCCAGTTTAATGACATAAAACGTTRAGCTAAAGAGGATTTCAGTCCGTTGTATTTCTCCTTTTTCACTCTAAAAGTTAAAGAAATTGTGCATTAATGGAAATGCATGCAGGCCTATGAAAAGGCTCATCTTCCCTTGGCATTATTTATTTGTATTGTTGGAAAGTGCAGTGTTCATTTTACCGGACTGGTGCGAAACCTCGAAGATATTTAGAGGTATAGAAAAGAAAAACTCGACATCTGAAATCCCGTATGTGAAAGAAATTAGATTTGTGTGGAAAAATAAAATAAAAARTCCATCATTCTTCTCTTGTATTTTACAATCACATTGATTTTCAAAGTGGATTTTTATGACACAGCAATACCAGCCTGGACTGAGAGAAAAAGAATATTACATTGTGTCTGAGATATTGAAGGTGAGGAGTAAAGCTTTCCATTCCATGACCCCCAAACAGCATTAGCTTCAGTAGCCCCCCCGCTATAAACATTTTTACTGAATTGTAATATTTAACGTATTTCTAATGAATCTGCTTTTCATTTCACAGAACCAACTAAACCGTTTTTAAAATCACGGACAAAACTCCCATTTCTTTGTATCACCAAACATCCCCTCATCTCAGGCTCATCCGTTTGCGCCTCGGGTTCTGACCCGACTCATCCCCTCTGTGCTCACTTCATCCCTTTAATCCCACGTATTAGGATATGAAATAATGCTTCTTTGTCAGCCACAGATGCGGGCTGATCATGATGCAACTGGGTCAAAACAAGGATCTAAAGAAAAAAAAATATATTAATTTAAAAATAGCTGCCCTGCTGCTGCTGCACAGAATGTAAAGTGACCCAAGCATGAGATTAACTGGTGGGACTATTTTATCCGACAGCTCCATTATGTCATTATTATTAATTATGGCTTATTAGCATTTTAGCAACAATGTGTATAAAAAGTCCTCTTTATATTCGAGACAAAGCTGGGTTAAAATAATAAAAAAAAGGAACTAAATCTAAACCTAAGTGAGGAAAGTCGTTCTCTCAGTCGGGCAGACAAAGTAATTAAAGCAAATCGTTCAGAGAGTGAAACGCGGTGAGTGATCACCCACCAAAGCAGACTAATGAGCTCTCAGGTTCACGTCTGTGGGTCCGAACCAAACGCTCGGCTCTTTGTCTTTCTGCCAGGAGAGAAACTCACACTTCTCCAGCCAAACTTCACCTCCAACGTGACAAACTGCTGTGAACCTGAAGAGGAGGTCAAAGGATGACGTCACCTGGGAGATCAGAGAGTGCTCCTCTCTCAACGATGTGCTTCCTGTACAGGGTCTTCAGGACCTTGGCGCTGCCGAACCTCTTGAAGCGGATCTTCACATTGTTGTAGTACCATTCGAGCGACTGCGTCCGAAAAATCCTGCAGACAAAGAAAGAAGAACAGAATTGGGGAATTAGTTTAGATTGAGTTTGAGCCACGTTTTCAGTAAGTGTTTTAATTGTTGRAGTAGTTCACCTTGAACACATTTAAAACCACTAAAACCATTATTTAGATAAAAAGATAAATAGATATTGTGATTTTCCACTCTTTGCTTATAGGTAACACAAGGTTTTTTTGCATTGTAAGGCTCGGCCTAATTAAACCCCGACCCTGGTTGTGTTGAGCAGAGAGTCGCCTCKATGTGGGCAGGCTCAAAATATTAAACGCACAAATCTTATTTTGGTTTATTTGCGACRCAACAATAACAAACTACACCCAACTCGAAGGAAACATATCGAAGACTGTTCCAAACCATCCAGCAGTACGATGCTTAAGACGAGAGGAAAGGACGACAAAACGATACGCTAATGGTAGCTAATGTTAGCATTTTGTTAGCATTTTGTTGTTCGGTAGCTCCCTACTGTTGTTGTGTAGTGTGTTGCAAATGATTCACGTAAAGTTACTCTCATCTGTGTGACGTAACCAACCCGATCAGTGAACCAATCAATGAGCAGTGGCAAATTATGTCAAATCGGGCCGAGCAGCCTGGCCTGGATGGAACCACGGGTCCAGGTTCTGTTCAGAATCGTGGTGGAACTGAGTGCAAACACGCAGAACCTGGGTTCGGTCGGCCTGTAACTAAAATGTAACAATTTAAGGCCCAGATTTCTAAATCCATATCAATGATCACATTTGATTGTTTTTGCTAACTCTACAAACACACACACACACACACACACACACACACACACACACACACACACACACA